GCAAGAAGGCTGCAAGCGGAGCGGGAGTATCGTAGGGAGCGTCAATGAACTAATCATTTAAAGGGCTTCCTATTGCTACTAGGCATTCCCTAATCTGACTTAAAGAAAGGCCATAAATCATAATGTGCTCTGATATAGTAGGGTAAATGCATCAATGCCTCCACTGTGTTGTTTGCAAATTGTCAGGTATTACAGTTGGAATGAGAATACCACCATGTGAGCGGTGTATTTATATTTTTACAGTGAAATAGGATGGAAATTTTCCCCTCAGTGCTGCTACTCAAATTACAGTACAGAACATGGCTGGGAGCCGCTTTGGGAAGTAGGAATCCACGTTTTCTGGTTTGTCCGACCTCCAACGAAGTCACTTAAACCTTTTGTATATCAAAGTCTTCCTACATGTAAGACGGGACAATAGGGCCTCCTTATTGGGGTCTGTGGGGCTTGTTACTGACCAGGCTTCGCTTTGCGAAGAGCCTGGTGCTGAGTGGTGGTTATTGTGGTTAAAAAACGGGCGGCAAAAGCCATGGGAAGCCAATGTGCCACCTTGCTCAGGCTGCAAATGCCCCTGCCAGCTCTTACGTAACCGCCGGCTTTGCTAATTTTCCACTCATCACACTCGGTGGATATTATGTTTTTTAAAGAATAATGTGAGCATATGCATTAAACTGCAAACACAGCACGGAAGTCGGCACTGTTCAGAGGGGATTAGGTGAGCAATTATGTAGCCTGCAGATAATCGAAGCAAAAGGCTAAATAGAGACCGTAGAAAATAGCTTGCCTCGAGTAAAACTGACAGCTGAATTCAGAGAAAATGTTCTCAAAGACAAAACAGGAGTTTTAAGCTGTGGCCGTGCAAAGAGAGCGCGCGTGCTGTGCCAGAGAGCTGCAAGGGCAGCTCCGGAGCGGGACGGAGCCTCCTGCGCCCCTCTGCGCCCCGCTCCGGCCCGGCGCCCTGCGGAGCGGGCGGGTTTGCGCTGTGTTTGCGCTGGCAAGATGCGTTCACCAAAGAGCTGCTCTTGCAGGGCCAGGGCGCTCAGCTCCGGTGCTGGGAGAGGAGCCGCATGCCCGGACACCCTCCGTGAGGAGTCGCTTTGTCTTGCGTCCTCTCCGTGCGGCTCTGCCGAAATTGCTGGAAACGTGCAGCGAACTTTGTCACTTCAGGGCTGAGGTTGCTCCACTCTGTTTTCTCTTGGTAGTGCAAACACTGCTGAGCAAGAAGAACAGAAGTTAAGGCCACAAATGTGCCACGCTCAGGGACAGTCTTGGAATGCTGCGGTGACACAGGAACGCCGACCAGCCCAACCTCGGCCCTTCCTTATTTTCAGGCCAGCAATCACGCGACCTCCTGAGCTCCTGCACTCTAAATGGTTTTAGTGTATCAAGATTTTTGGAAAAGAGAAATTTATTTCATAAGAAAAGACATCTGAAAGCAGGGTTCTCAGCCTGCTCTTACATTATGTGTTAGATAAAACCAAAAGCTGATGGAACTTTTTGGTCAAAACCACAAACCAATACCTTGTGTTATATGCACCTATTCCCATGCAGTGTCCGTGCCACCCCAGCTCGCTCTCTGCTCCAGCCCAGTAGTGCCTCAGGAATGAGCAGCTCCAAGGCAGAGGCGCACATGGCACCGAGCCCTTCAGCCCTGCAACGTGTGCGCAGGGTGCGAATGTGGTGTGAAAAACACGATGGTAGAACAGGGTGCCGGGGTTATGTCGTGCTGGCTGTTCCTGTGCATGAGCTGCTCTCAAAGTCAACTACAATAAAGCTGTACATTCATACTTATTAATTTTTTATTTGGTTGGAAAACAGGAAGAGAAGTGTGAGAAGCAAGACAGGGCATCAGAGGGAGATGCCTGAGAGACGAATCTCTGCTAGACTCTTGCTCGAGACAGATGACAGGTTTCAGGTTTGCTCAGACTCGAGGATCAAGTTCAGATCCTAATGTTTGTTTTGCCTTGGACTGAGGTGGGCAGATGCCGTTCTCTCCACTTCGCCATGTGGCTTCTCTAGCTGTTAGACAGGGATAACAGCTCCGTCTGCCTGTCGTGGGTGCCGGGGAGGCAATTTCATCACTGTCAGCTCTGTGGAATCCCTGGGTGAAAGGAACAGCAAAAATGCAGAAAACACGGGTTATTAATAGCCGGTGCTCGCCCTTACATACATCACATGGACCGTTACTCACTCTGGCCAATAATTTACGGACTGTGAGAAGATGTTCCTCAGTGTAAATACACAATGACACACGGCTGGTATCAGACCTCTGCAGTGTTGCAGAGCTGGGGGTCTGTTTGCTCTGCATGCACCCTGAGCACATCGTGCTTAACCTGCCAGTAGCATTAAAATGTGCAGGAGCCGTGGGACTGGCTAAATTTGGCTTTCGAGGGAGCTTACCTTCCAGTCCAGCGTGGGTTTGTTATGCTAGGGTAGTGCATAGACTGAATTCTTGGTGATTTTCAGCTTTTTTGACTTCTTTCCTAGAACCTGATGGTTGTCTCCTCCCTGTCACTTTTATTAGTCAGAGCACTGGATACAAAGGTTTATCATCATCTCTGGTTTGTAAGTGAAAGCCTCTAAATATCAAAAGCAAAGGAAGTTGGTGACAATACTCAAGTCTCTAGTAGACTCCTGAGGGAAACCGTGGTTTAAGAAACACCTGTAAGAAGTGAATTTTAGCACCTCATCTCTGCTTGTCCCCGTTGCAAACCTTGACTCTGGGTGGACTGCCAGCAGTAGTGTCCCTGGAAGCTGCAGATGGGACTGCAAAGCCTCTGGGAAATGACTTAGAGGCTCCCAGAGTTGGGATAGAAGGAAATGCTGTAGGTGAGGGTGCAGGATAACTGACTGTGGTGTGACAGTCCGGAGGGCATTCACTTTTGTAATTATACGCACACTGCTTCCAGGCTTCCTGCTCTTGTGCTGCTACCGAGATTAATTGACTAGGAAAGCTGCAGTGTCATCTCAGGCCCTTAATGAGGAAAACCGCAGCTTGAATTTACACTTATCCCTGCGTCACGCCTTGCTGGCCAACGTGGCCCTGCTCCTGGAAGCGCACGGGGCAGCCCCGTGTCGCTCCCGCGCCGCGAGGGGCTGCCCGGGGCTCTCCGCAGGCCGCGCGCCTGCCAGGCCACGCGGAGGGAGCCGGGGCCGCTTGCGGCAACGTACCTGGAGCCTGGCTGTGCTCCTGGGCCTCCTCGGCACCCGCTGCTGAAAGCTCTGCGCGGGCTGGTTTGGGACCCTGGCTCTACCTGTGTAATGGTTGGGGTCTTAAATATGCCTTATGGACGCTTCAAAGTGATATGTTCTTATCATGGCAAGATAACCTCTACAGGAAGGGCTTTTGAGGCATGTTCTGCCCTTTCAATTTTGCTTTTATGAGTTTGACAGGTTGAGGATGAGAAGCCACATCCTTATTTGACCTGGCTGGTTGTCGTGCCGTGGCCTCACTAATGCCGCCTTGTTCTGCGGGTCCTCAGGGTCTGCTCCAAAGCCCGGCTCAAGCTGAACTATTCTGACCGAATCCAGGTTCTGAGGATTCCCGTTTGCCCTAGGGCGTTTTCCTGGCTTCGCTGTCCACACATGGGCCCCTCCTCCTGCAGATGCCCCAGTTGCCTTCAGAGCGTCATCGCGGCTCCAGCAGCACCGGGGATTTCGTGGGTAGAGAGGGCTGCAGCTGCACAGGGCCCTGCTCTCCCTGGGCTCAAGTCCTGCGCTCCTGCCACCTTGGTGTCCCCTCCTTTATGCACTGTAGGCTTCTGTGGGGCTCAGGAGGGTGAGAACGATAAAAACCCCTGCTGGGTCATTTGACTGATGGAGCCACTGCTGTTTTCCAGATGTTGCATCTCAAAATTTAAGTAACCCACCCAAATAATCAGTTGCTCTTTACTTTGTTCATTTACTGTGACAAGTGCATCGTGATTTAAATAATTTACGATACCCCATGGTGTAATAGTAACTGCCCTATAGTCTACAAGGTAGAAATGATGGAATCTTGGCAATGTGATGTTACAGCACGTTGGTATCACCATCTGGGAAACAACTGGAGAGGACTGGAGCAGTGCTCTGCTAGGCAAAGGGGCTGCTTTGTGAAAGTCCTCAGCAAAATATGAAACTGAGAAAAGTTTTCAGCTCTCACTCAGGAGCATTGCAGCAACATCACGTGATTGTGGATTTTTACACTAAGACCTGGGGAAAATCTTACAAGGGACTATACATAGACAGTGTGTCCCTTCAAAGTCAAAACGTGCTTGTAAGGGCCACAGAATAACATTGACTTGCCCCTGAAGAGAATATAGGCCTCTTGGAGACTATATTTTCATGGCACAGTAGTACAATGTTGCCCGTGCTTGCTTTTCAAATGAAAGATGTCCATGACTGTGAGCTTTAGTGATCCTTTCTGTATGACATGGAGGTCTCTAGAGCGATGCCTCAGGGTAATTTTGCCTCAGCAAGAAATCTGCTCCAGCACTGTGGATCGCAGCAGGGTCTCCAGCTGCATCCTGCTCCCGAAGCTGGCAGCATTAGCTGCTTCTGACGGACCAGACAGTAGGAGCAAGCTGGACAGTGGGAACAAGTGGTTGTTCTGGCACACTAACTTTGTGCCCTTCCAAAAACCTGTTCTCTGTTTTTGCAAGACTCACTGTGATAGCTGTGTGGTCCTTATCACGGTGTAAATACTTAAGTCTCTCCTCGAGTTGCCCTGAAGTCTCAGTCAGAGTTTTGAAGCGACTGTGTCCAGTCCTGCACCTGATTCATCTCTGTACTCGCCGAGACAGAGTATGAGTGAAGAATGATACTCCCATGGAGAGTGAGAATATGAGTGTCCCTGTGATATTAAGCGCTTAATTACATTAGCAGCTTGTGCACTGGGAATACCTGTGGCAGACTAGCACAGCCTAGGAAGCAAGTGGCAATAGAGCAGCATAAAGCAGATCAGTTCCATTGAGCTGTCCTCCCACTCCCTGGCTAATCTCACGTGTCTCTGTCTTGCTGTCCAGGTTTTACTGGGACTTGACCATGCTGCTCCTGATGGTAGGGAACCTGATCATCATACCTGTGGGCATTACATTCTTCAAGGACGAAAACACCACGCCGTGGATTGTCTTCAATGTGGTGTCGGACACGTTCTTCCTCATTGACCTTGTCCTCAACTTCCGGACAGGCATTGTGGTGGAGGACAACACAGAGATCATCCTTGACCCACAGAGGATCAAGATGAAGTACCTGAAGAGCTGGTTTGTGGTGGATTTTATCTCCTCCATCCCTGTGGACTACATCTTCCTGATCGTGGAAACGCGCATCGATTCCGAGGTGTACAAGACGGCGCGGGCTCTGCGCATCGTGCGCTTCACCAAGATCCTCAGCCTCCTGCGTCTCCTGCGGCTCTCCCGGCTCATCCGCTACATCCACCAGTGGGAGGAGGTGAGCAGAGGCTGTGCTACACGGGCAGCCTTCATCTCTTCTCCACAAAGGCCCATTCTCCTGCTTTATCATGCTGTGGATGCTAAAGCAGCACATCTTGAGAGGAATGTTTTGCTTTTAGCAGCTGCCCAAGGGCCTTCAGTGCGTTGTTGTTTAGTCACGTGAGGTTCTACGGTCTCCTTCAGGGTCATTGTACAATCTGGGATGTTGACGAGGTGTGAGCGATGAGTGAGTACAGGGGGGTCCCCTGAAGGAGTGTGAAGTTGTGCAGCTCTAGAGATGCGAGGGGAGCGCCTGGGCAGATGGAGGGTCAAGAGGCAGCTGATCTGCAGGAACCTGTAGTGTTTACCCACACAGCTTCCTCGGTTACGTGCCCATCTCTTGCGGAAAGGGCTTGCTAGTGTTTTTATAACCATCTTGCTTTCTAAATGACACCGCATTTAGGGGAAAAGGACAGGAAGGGCAGTCTGCAGGCAGGTGCTTTTTGCTTAAAAATGCAGCAGCCTGGTGTAAAGAAAGAGCAACCCCCACCCCAGCCCCTGGGCTAGTCCCAGCGAGTTCCTGTGCACAGGACAAATCGTCAGGCTTAATGTGAGTGGAGCCACTGTCTTACTAAAAGAATGAGTTACTTTGTACAACCTTCGTGCTCTCCAAAGCAGAGAGCTTTCCGCAGCCTTGTTCACATCAAAAACATATCCCCAGGACAAGGAAAGCTGGTCGAGGCAGCTTCGTGTTCTTCCGCAGACTTTCTCCCCTGCTTTGGAGCTCAGCCTGCCGTGCGGCATGAGCTAAAACCATGGCTGCTCCTGGGACACGTTGCCCTTTTGCAGGCGGCTGTGGGTGCTCTCTGAGGCCGCCTCCAGGCTCCCTGGAGGGACAGTGACACACGTGGGCTGGCAGACGGTGCCACCTCATGGGCCTTTTTCTCAAGCAGGGCTTGACCGGGCACCCGTTTCCCAGAAGGAGTAGGAAACGAGGAAGTTTTTCCCCTTGGGGAGGCAGGCAGGCAGAGGGAAGGGGCAAGCCCTCGTCCCTGGTGCAGCGCCTGCCTCGGAGCAGCAAGCAGGCAGGGAGGGAAGCGCTTCGGAAGGTCCTTTCCAACCGTGATGATTCTGTGCTTCCGTCTCTGCATGGCAGTAATCTGTGGAGCTCAGTGGAATGCCGCTGGTCGTTTCATCTTCCTCTTGCTCTGAAGCGTCTACCCATGGACACCAAGTTCACATTGGCTTTTCCTCACTGCCCAGATCAGTGACACAATTTGCGGTGATGATTTGGAAGTGTTAATTCCTGCAGGAGGGAGCAGGATTGGCCTGGGCTTGCCCAGAGTGTTTGTGAAGGACAGATCAATGTGCAGAGCAAAGACAGACTGTTGCGAGGAGATGTTGCAGAAGGGAGATGTTTATATACCCTGCTTTGCTCCCCTGCCCTATCCCGCTGCATGTCTCATCTGCTGGGGGGTATCCTTCTCACCCAGGACCCCCACAAAGAAGGTGGTGAGCTGAGAAAAGCCGCAGGCCGACCCAAGAACGGGTGCCGAAACGGTGCGAGCAGCTCCGCTGCGGTCGAGGTTAGCGCAGGACCATGGGCTGCTCCAAGCGGGAGGGCTCTGCGCCGTGGCCAGCGCAGCCTTCCCAGAGCTCCAGCAAGGGCTCTGGGCTCTACAGCTGGGCAAACACCCTCCAGAAGGAGCAGAAAGCAACCCAGCGTGCTAATATTCACCGGAGTACAAAAATAAGCTTAATTCCAAATGTAGCAGTTTCATTTGCATTATCCATTTTGCATGAGTGGTCTAACGAACAAATTTAGCAGTAGGACAGAATATAAATAGGATGTTTTGGAAGTGCCCGCCCATGTCAACCCTGCAGCGGGAAGTCAGTGAGCCCTGCCTTACGGAGCCCAGCGAGGCAGCGGGAGGCATTCGGAGCATCCCCAGGGCTGCTCAAGCCGGGCACACAGAGAGCCAGGAGCTGGGCCCGCACAGCGCCCGCTTGGAGAAAATGCTCAAGAAAAAACAGACCACACGGGAACACCCTCCAAAGCCCAGCTCAAGGGCAGGCGGCAGAAGCAATAAAAGTGGAATAAAGCCATGTAGCCCATACATCCCATCAAAATGGAGCAAGGCAGCTCAGACTGTGAGCGCTGAGCAAAAAAATCCCTTTAGGTTTTTATAGGCAAAATTGATTGAAACAGTTGTTTTCTAAGACCAATTTGCTGAGCTTTCCCTATTTTTTTTTGCAGCATCTATACCATCTTTTGCAGCGTCTGGTTTGGTGCCAGAATACGGTAACCTGTATTTAAGCCCAGACTATTGTGACTTGCAGTCAAGGAGCATTTGCTAGGACAACATTAAAATCCTATCCCTATAAATCTGTTTCCAAACAGCAGATGGGCTAAACTAACCAAAATATTTTGATTTTAAAATCTGTGTATGTGAAGGAATATGGGGGTAAGGAAAAGATTTAATTGGTTTTGGTATTTATCATGAGAGATGATGACCCCCAGTGAGGGATCTTTTCCATTTTTTGTTGGAAAAAGATTACAGTTTTTTGCTCTAGGCACCAAACCCTGAAGGAAAGGACAATTTGGCAATTTTCCGAGTGCCATTTAAACGAAAACTTGAAAAGGCCGCCTTTTTCCCCTGCAGAGGCTGCGTATTGCACGGGAGCATTAGGATGAGGGAGATGCATCTTCGCAGGGTCCCCTCCTGACCACCCGTGATGTCAGCTGGAAGATGATGTCACATCTGAATGATGACGTCACTTCTGAGAAGATTCGGAGGTATCCAGACAACTTGATGCCAAGGATAGAAGGCTGTCTGCAAAAAACATGAGAGGGCTTGCACAGCCCATGAGAATGTAGCTCCCAGTTGGTTTTCATTTGGATTTGAACGGCTCCCTTAGGTCCTTCTGACATATTTGTAGCCTTCCTTAAATTTAAGCGGCTGGTGGCTAGGGATGCAATTTTAGGCTCAACACTTACCTGGCTCCTGGGAGTGGGGAGTTGAGCACAATTCCTGCAGCCAAGTTGCACAGCCGGCTCTGTTTCGCGAGGAGCTCCGTGTGTATCCATGAAAACCTTTGCTCATGGGTAAGTTCTGGTTCAGCAAACACTGGGGATGTGGCAAGGAAGGGAGGAAGGGGTCGAGTTTCTTGCTAAATTTGTATCACTGCGTTTCTGAAGGCAGCGCTATCAAGCACTTGTCTTTAATGTCATTCAAGGGGCTCGTTGTAGCCATAATGCAAGGTACAGCGATTGCACCTGCACTGCCGAAGTGACCCCAGACCTGAGCATCTTTCAGAGAAAATCCCAGCTGCAGCTGCTGGCACCAAGCTCTTGCTGACATATTGCAAGAGGGTTGTTCGGGATTTTATCACAGCCTTTTAGATGAAACTGTTTTCTCTC